TTACTACTATAACGTGAGGGAAATATTTGTGAATTATTTACACATTGCAAAATGCAAAAAATATACTATAGATAAATTAATATATATTTTATTTTAATTATTAATAAAAAAAAACAATTTAACTAATATATATATATATTACACACACACACACACACACACACACACACACACATAAGTAAAGTATTATGCATATTGTGGTATATTTGATGAACTGCTTTTAATTTAGTACATATTACAAAAAACATATTACTACATATTTATATTTTATATAATAACAGGAAAAAGTATTACTAAAAAAACATTACAGTAGTAAGGACAAGATGGGTTTAATTATAATGAAATACTGTCCCAATCCAAACATCTTAAATAATGCCTTTATATTTCTATATATGTCTATATATTTCTTATTTTTCTTTTGATTTTAAGGTGAAATACGACTTCAAATTCATCGGACTGGATATACAGTGTCTGGAACATTCTGTGTGCAGTCTGAATGATATGGAATGGAGAAATGGGTAAACTCTCACTAACACACACACACACACACACACACAAAACGCCAATCTCGTCAACCCTGTCTAGAACACGCCCAGGTCCAAATTCATCCCAAAAACAAGTGAAATAAACATGACGTGTTATTAATGCTTCTCTGGAATACTTCGTTCTGATTGGTTATTCATGGTAAAATATTTCTGAATACGTGAATAACTGACCGTTCACCTGGGAAACGTGTGTTTTGAGTGTCTGGAACATTCTGTGTGCAGTCTGAATGATATGGAATGGAGAAATGGGTAAACTCTCACTAACACACACACACACACACACACACACACACATATATATACACAGAGGTATGAAGAACTTCCTGCAATAGCCTGAAATTGACCCACGTTTATCATTTCTAAACTATTTGAGTTTTGAGAGACTGACTCTGGAGCCATGTGGTTGTTGAGCTGTGGAACCACTTTCACCACACACACACACGCACACACACACACACACACACAGTATCACCCCAGGGAAAATCAGAGCCGCAGGGAAAATCTGAGCCGCTCAGACAAAACATAATTTTGACACCAAGGCTGATGTTCCTGAGCCGGAGCCGTTCCAAACACACGATCAGCAGCGGGTGAAGTGTTTACAGCGCTCAGACTAAATCATCAAATGAACAATGCTACTGTTATACTCCCATAATTCACTGCACTCCAGGAACAAGAGCGAGGAACACAGAAGCTAGTGGCAGCTAAATGTTTTTTTCCACTGATTTTCAGGCTATTTATATAAGAGTCTGAAACCTGTTGAGGTAAAGCATTTGCTCACCCAAATTATGCCATTTCCTTCATTTTTCAAAGTTGTTTCAAATTCATATTGCGCATCAAAATGAGTCACTCCAGGCTTGACGTCAATAACGAGACTCTAGAAAGTCAATGATGTTTGACGTCAAACCAGGCACGAAGCACCGGCGCAAGAAAATGACTTTCATTTGTTTGGACACAATAGACTGAATTTATGTTTCTTATTATTCTAAATGAGTTTTAAGATACATACAGTACTTGTCAAAAGTTTGAAAACATTACTGTGATTTTTAAATGTTTTTAGTGAAGTCTCTTCTGCTCACCAAGGCTTCATTTGTGTGCTCAAAAATACAGTAAAAACTAATACTGTGAAATATTATTACAATTTAAAAGAACTGTTTTCTGTGTGAATATATTGTAAAATGTCATTTATTCTTGTAATCAAAGCTGAATTTTCAGCATCATTACTCCAGTCTTCAGTGTCACATGATCCAAGCAGCACAACTGTTTTCAATATTAATAATACTCAGAAATGTTTCTTGAGCAGCAAATCAGCATATTAGAATGATTTCTGAAGGATCATGTGACACTGAAGACTGGAGTAATGATGCTGAAAATTCAGCTTTGATTACAAGAATAAATTACATTTTACAAGATATTACACTAGAAATCCATTATTTTAAATTGTAATTATATTTCATAATATTACTATTTTTACTGTATTTTTGATCAAATAAATGCAGACTTGTTGAGCAGAAGAGACTTCATTAAAGTAAGATTTTCATTGGTCATGGTGCTAAATGGGATCTGCGACACATTCGTGATGCACTGGTGTTTTAGTGTTTAAAGCACTCACATGCAGTGTGGTGAGAAGCGACTCCAGTGCGCTGGGCTCGTCTGATGAAGAAGAGGAAGACCTGCGCTGCAGCTGGAATTTACTGACAGGAATCCAGCGTACGCCTTCCAGCGGCGTGCATGCGCTCATGTCCTTCATCAGCACCAACACCGCGTTACCGTGCTTGTCCCTGATGGGCTCAAAATACACCTGCCCCAGATCCACTGTGCCGAGGAGCGCCTGCAGAATAATCCAAAAACAGAAACTTTACCCGCAAGATATATGTTACAGTGTAAATAAATCTCAACTCTAACAACAGTTTGATTGCAATTCTTTGAGATTTGGTTATTATGATGTATTTTTACGTCCCTAGTGACTGTAGACTTCACCTGCAGCTGCGCAGCCGCCTGCAGCAGTTTGAGGCGCGTCTGCAGCGTGCAGGAACTGGAGGCGTGTGCAGGACTGATGCACTGCTGCATCCAGGTGAGCTCCTCCCACAGATGTGACACCTGTCAATGCACGTTACCATCGAGACAATGTTTAATACTCAAATGCTGACACTGTATACTGCGGTGCGACTTAATGAATCAGTGTTGTTGCAATGAACTGATTCAAATTTGGTTGGATTTTAACATTTATCTTTAATAATGTGAAATACGTTAAATATATTTGTTATATTTAATTCAAATTATACATAAATTATATAAATTGTTATTATATAAATATATTGTCATATATATATATATATGTTGGATTTTATTTATAGATGATGTGAAGTCCTTTGAGTGTTTTTTAAAAAAGCAAAATATTTTTAAAAAACAAATAATATACATACTGTATATATTAGTGCTGTCAAACGATTAATTGCACCCAAAATAAAAATTTTTATTTACATAATATATGTGTGTATTGTGTATATTTATTATGTATATATAAATATACACACATACACACAGACACACACACACACACATGCATGTATATAATTAAGAAATATTTACCTGTGTGTGTGCGCATATATTTATTTTTTTACATATGATTTATATTATAAACATAAATATTACATATATTTCTTAATATAGTTTATAAGTTTATAATATAGTAGGGCTGGGACGATAAATCGATGCAGAATCGATTTGTGGATCGATTCTTAGATTTTCAGAATGCATCGTGATTCCTCTGGAATCGAATCTGAAAAAATAACAATAATTACATGATACATGAAATATTGTAATTATTTATGTATTTAAATAAATAAATATAAAATAAACATTACATATATATGTGTGTGTGTGTGTGTGTTTGTCTTTTTAGAGCTGCTTTACAGCAGAATTTTGTTTGCATCACTGAATCAGTATGTTCTTGTCTATAACTGTAAAGCTGCTTTGAAATTGTATAAAGCACTATATAATTAAAGGTGACTGACTGATATATAAAATATATATTTAGTTTTTAAAAACAAATATAATATTAACAATTACATATAATAACAGTTGCATTCATTTAAACTAAAAACCAGACCAAACCAGTACTATTACAAAAGCTTTGATTGGTTATTACTAGTGATTTGGTTGTGTGCAACACTTTGTCACCTTTGTGAACCAGAGTAAATCCTGAGCGTGACAGCTGTACGAGTCATCCATCTCTACGACGGGCAGCTGATCCTCTGGAGTCACCAGAACGTTTTCATCTTTATAAAATATACAGGCCAGATAAAGGCCTCTACAGAGAGGATCAGAGAGAGAGGAGTCATAGATAATGCAAGATATGGTGTGTTGAGAGCGTTCCTCACTGCAGCAGCCATCATCTGATGTTGTTTTCTCTCACCTTTTCAGATTTTTGACAAATTTGCTGGTGGGCTGGAAGAGATGCCTCAGACTTTTCGAGACAGAGTGTTTCCTGGTGTTCGACGGGGCTTTGCATTGTTCTAAACACACAGAGAGGTCAGACATGTCAAATACAGCACAGACAGTCATGTAGAGGAGTTCAGATGTGCAGTTTTAGCTTTCAGTCAAAATGATAAATCACTAATAGTATTTGCTTTTCAATAGAAATAGCTGTTGCTTTTCAACTTCAGCTTGAAGATTCATAAGCATGAAGTGCATATTAAACACTGATGAAAAAGTGATAAAAAATTAATTACTGTAATTAAATAATTATTTCTTTTAAATTAAATTGCCAAACAATTTTGAATAAATAAATATGTTAGTAGACAGAGATGTTATTTTTATAACAAATTAACTGTAAAGTACAGGGGTTTTAAAGGGGTTTAAGTGTTCGATTAAAAAAAAAAGAATGATGTCACAATGCAAAAAAAACAAAACAAAAAAAAACGACCTTAAAGGGCACCTATTATGCCCCTTTTACAATATGTAATTAATATAAGTCTCAAGTGTCCCCAGAATGTATCTGTGAAGTTTCAGCTCAAAATACTCCACAGATCATTTATTATATCATTTTGAAAATGCCTATTTAGAGTGAAAGCAGAAACACGCAGTTTTAGTGAATGTCTCTTTAAATGCAAATGAGCTGCTGCTCCCTGCCCCTTTTTCCACAATATGCTTTGCTTTTACAGCTTGTATCTCAGATACTCTGTGATTAGATTATTAGATTGATTAGATTAGATCTGTGTATTAAGTGACAGCAGCGTAATATAGTACCTATACTGCTGTCTACACTGTTAATATGGCCCAAACAATAAAATAAGAGCAGAAAATCACTCACGCTCTTGACTGAATAACTTCTGTAGCTTTAATAAGAAGACTTTTTTTATTTGAATGATGCTTTTAAATGCTCTAGCGTGAAGATAAACATGGTGGATTGTGTGCAACTCACTGCTAAAACGGCAGGAGGGGGGGGGGCGGCTGGGGGTACAGTGTGACGTCACATTTTACAGATTCTGCCAATGGCTTATTCAGAGACACTGCTTATGAATTATGGGGATAAAAAAAAAAAAAGAAATTATAGGGTGGTTGTGTACACACACTGCCAACACACATTTATGTTCAAACATCATGTAAAAGTGAATTTTGCATAATAGGTGCCCTTTAAAATAAGCTGCATTTTCTTGTGCAAAATATGTCATTATTTTTTCCTTTTGATTTTGGATTGAAATAAGGATAATGTTTTATGAAATTATTATATTCATGTACAAAGATATTTACATTGTAGTTCAAATAGAAAGTACTACCAAAAACATGTTATTACGACCATGTACAAAGTACTATGATAAAGCTATAGCATCCAACAGATGTTTTTGCCAGTAAATGTCCAGTCTTTTTTAACAGATCCCAATTCAAGTGACTTAAAATGGGTGCAAATCTTTATGCTGTGTGTGAATGAAAGTAAAGCATCTGCAGCCGGTGATTTCCTCATAGAGTCTGTGTGTGTTTTACTCCCTGCAGTTGAGCCTAATTTATCCCCTTTAACTCACAGTGAAATAAATCCTCAGCGCTAATGCCCTAAAACCAACAAACAGGACCCGCGCGCTCCAGCCCTCTGAAATGTTAACTCGGCATTTGTTTTAAAGTGCTGTAATGTTTGTGGCTGCTGCTCGGCGTGAATGAGGGGGGTTTCATTCAGGTCCAGTAGTGTTTACCGTGGCAGGCGCAGTGACGGTGCGCCCCTTTAATTTGCCCCAGGAGCTGCTCTAACGCCTCTTTCAGACCCTGCTGGCGGGGCGGAAGACCATCCACCTCCCTCCAACCTACAGAAACACAGACAGAGATAAGAACCAGTGCATTGTGGGTAAAAAACAACAGATGCATATGAAAAATCTGAAGAAGGTCTTTCAATGCCGTGGGAGATTGGTCTGGGTGGTTGCTAGGTGATTTCTTATGGTAAATGGTGTTTGCCCGTCTAAAAGTTGCCAGAACAATGCTAAGGTGTTGCTATGCAGTTGCTAGGGTGTTGTGGGTGGTTTCCAGGGCATTGTTAGTTGATTGCTCTGGTGTTGTGGGTGGTTGCTAGTTTATTTCTTATGGTAAATGGTGTTTGCCCATATAAAAGTTGCCAGGACAATGCTAAGGTGTTACTATGCAGTTACTAGGGTGTTTTGGGTGGTTTCCAGGGCATTGCAAGGTGGTTACTATGGTTTTCTGGGTGGTTGTTCAGGTGTTACTAAGGTGTTCTGGGTGGTTGCTAGGTGATTTCCTATGGTAAATGTTTTTTTCCCGATGCAAAAATGGTCGGAGTGATGTTAAGGTGTTGCTATGCAGTTGCTAGGGTGTTGTGGGTGGTATCCAGGGCTTTGCTAGATAGTAGCTAAGTGATTTCTTATAGTAAGTGGTGTTTGTCTATGTAAAAATTGCCAGCACAATGCTAAGGTGTTGCTGTGCAGTAGTTGGGGTTTTGTGAATCGTTACCAGGGCACTGCTAGGTGGTTGCTATTTTTTCCTGGGTGGTTGTTAAGGTGTTCTGGGTGGTTACTAGAGTGTTCCCAGGGCATTGCTTGGTGGTTGCTATGGTATTCTTGGTGATGGCTAAGGTGTTACTAGGGTGTTCTTGGTAGTTGCTAAGTGTCCCTAGGGAGTTCTAGATTGTTGCTCGGGTGATTTTCTAGGATGTTGAAGGAGGTTGCCGGAGCATTTTTTGGTGGTTGCTATGATGTTGTGGGTGGTTGCTAAGGTGTTACTATGGTGTTCTAGATGGTTGTCAGGGTGCTTGGGTGGTTTTCAAGGGTGTTGAAGGAGGTTGTCATGGCATTGTTTGGTGAGTGCTATGGTGTTTGGGGTGGTTACAAAGTTGTTGCCAAGGCGTTACTAGGGTGTTCTAGATTGTTGCTAGGGTGTTAAAAGAGGCTGCTAGGGCATTGCTTGGTGTTAGCTATGGTGTTATGGGTGTTTACAAAGTTCTGGGCAGTTGCTAAAGTGTTGAAGGAGGTTATTGATGGTTACTACTGTGCTGTGGGTGGTTCCTAAGGCATTACTAGGGTGTTCTAGGTTGTTGCTAAGGTGCTTGGGTAGTTGCTAGAGTGTTAAGAGAGGATGCCAGGGCATTGCTTGTGGAAATGGCTGCTAAGTCTTTACTACGGGGTTCAAGGATGTAGCTAAGGTATTCAATGTGGTTGCTAAGGTGTTACTAAGGTGTTCAAGGTTCTGTTGTGTTTGGTTGTTAGGGTGTTGAAGAAGGTTGCCAGGGCATTGCTTTGTAGTTGTTATGTTTACTACCAAACAAAAACTATGTGATTATGTAATGTTTGCATGCTATTCTGGCAGTAAATCATTCAGTATTGGCCTTATATCCCTGCATCAGGCACACACACACACACACACACACACACACACACTTGCACACATACTCGCGCACACACACATACTCTCACTCGCACGCACGCACACACACACTCGCACATGCACACACACACACACACACACACACACACACACTCACACACACACACACACACACTCAAGCACGCGCACACAACCTTGCACACACACTCTCTCGGCACAGTAAACAGGACGATGTTCTGACGGTGTGTTGGTTGCAGGCTGGTTCTTGAGGAAGCAGGGAAAACATGGACGCTCTATTCCGGGAATGTCTAACACAGACCCTCTCTTCAGTCGGCTAACCTCACCGAGAGTATGTGTGCATGTGTGTGTGTTATGAAACAGATAGAGCGAGCGGAAAAAAGGACGCAAACATCATGTAAATAAAGAGAAATTGAGTGAAAATCATTTCTGCATGCGGCCATAAAACGGTGTGTGTATGTGAGCGTGAATTGTAGAGGGAGACAACAAGTGTGTGTGTGTGTTTGAGTTGGTGTATAAGAGCCGTTCTGTCTGCGACTTTACAGCTTCTCACAGACATGCAAATATTTCCAGAGGGAGTCGAAATGGAAAACACAAACACACACATTTAAATTAGCATGCTCAAAACACACACACACACACTCAACGTAAAAGAGCCCTAAAATCTGATGGGGGGAAAAGGAGGGCTTGTCCTCACAAACATAAAAATGAGGACACAAGTATGGCACAAATAAGCCAGACACACATAGATAATTACACACACACACATTATCTGTCATGCAACCTCTTAGAAAGCAAAACATGACTAACATCTCTCCTGTTTGTCACTATTGAATGTTTGTGTGTGTGTGTGTGTGTACTCACTTGAGACTGTAGCACAAGCAGGTTCAGATATCTGAGGTGAACTCCATCCCTTCATGTTATATGCTGATACCTGGACATAACAGCATGTGCCCTGAAACAAGAGAGACAGATCTGTGACTGATGCTGTATTTAAAGGGGTCATGAACTGAGAAACCAAAATTCCCTTGATCTTTTGACATACAAGAGGTCATTGTACTATAAAAACATCCTGTAAGTTTCAGAACTCAAAACTTTGTTGTTAGTCTAAAAACAGCTTTATACTGAAGGCAGTCTGCCAAAACCAATGGTGAAATGTACAACTCTATGATGTAATAGTGTGGATAAGCACCACCTCCGCAGAAGAAGATCAACACCTGCTTCTACATCACTGCCTGTTTAGCCCCGCCCACCGATTCACACATGTAGTGTTTACAAGAGAGGCGAATGCGCAGGTTTACACAGAAACCAAACGAAAAAGTGTTTGCGTTGCCTTCCTTCTGATCTCAACGTTAGGAAAGAGTGAATGAACTTTTGAATGAAGATCCAGACCGCATCAGTAAGAACTCTGTCCTTTGTTCACTTCATTTTACCGCGGATTCATTTACAAACAAGGCACAATTCGCTGAAAGATTGAAACTAAAAGACGATGCTGTGCGACTATATTGGATCGGACAGTAATGTCCCAACACAAGTGTAACGGTTTTCATTACGTGATCACTATTGCTTTGTCTCTTCTTACAGATCGTTTGATATGTATTGAGTTATTTATGTGTTTTTGACCTAAATTACGCCCATCTATGAGGAATGTACGCTGTCAAACATACACATAGCCAATTAGTATTTAAAGACTGATACTATGATTTTTGTGCGGTTTTATATCTTCCTCTGTTTTACATCATTTAGGTATTTATGTTATTTGTGATATCATTTTGCTTGTTTTAATGTTTATTAGTTGGTCTGTTTATTTTATTAATATTATTATTCATTAATTTTTTGTCTTCTTTGTTTGTTCACTGGTGTTGTTCTTACAAAACCAATTAAAACAATCAAACAATGAATTTTTGTACTCTTTAATTGTGCACCGGTGTTGTTATAGTTAACTCACAATAAAAATAAAACTATTCAAATTTAAAGTTTAAAATAAAGTTTTGACTACTTGAAATGGAGCTGACATCAAATGAAATAAAATTATAAATAGATGAAAAACAAACTTGAAAAACAAAGTTGAATAAAAAATGAATCTAATTAATATAATCAATCTAATCTAAATATAAATATTGAAAAGAATTAATAAAAATGACAAAAGCACATAACAAAATGTCTAAAACGTAAAGTATTACTTAACACTTGTGCACAATTCTTCAGTCACTAAAATTTTGTTTTTATAATCTTTCTTCAAAATGGTCTCCACCTCTAAAACAACTTTTCTGTACTCCTGACATAACCAAAAGAAAATTAATATTAGCAAATGATATAGCTTAAAGGGATAGTTAACTTTATTTCTTTTGTTAGGACCCCTTGGTAGTTTGCTGAGGCTTCCTAGTGGTTGAAAACCACTGCTTTCATTAAACGTCTGTTCTCTCATTCATAAAACTTTCGTTCATAAAACTAAAAATACGTTTCTGGGTCAAAGTGATTCATAAAGATGGAGCAGGTGAAAGAACTTTATTACATTTCAGGTCCGTTTCTCACACAAAGCTATCATATGGCTTCAGAAAACCTGAAATACAGTGCACAAGTTGTATGTTATGAAACTTTATGGTGCTCTTTAGTTTAGTTTAGTTTTTTCTTTGGAGCTTGACAGCTGTGGTAATATTGTTTGCGGTTTGTTTTACTCCACATACTAACCACTGGAAGTCCAGCGATGTCGTACTGGAGCTGAGTCACGTCTTCAATGACCGTCTCACCCAGTAATGGAGTAAATGAAGGAACGCTGCTCCAGCTCACTGAGACACACATAGGAAGCAGTCATTCAGCAGATGCACAGACGGAGCTGCACTGTCTAGTCAACTAGTTCTACCACCATGCCATGCTGTGGGTCTGTGTCTACTAGTCACAAGCACTTCACTGTGCTTGTTCTATACGGTGAAACAAACTGTGTCACGCTGTATTTGTGTGCGATTTGTTTTGTACGGAAACATGCGATGGCAAAATGTGAAAATAAAGGGATTCTGGAGAGTTTTTTTGTCCACAAAGTCTGACCATCAGATTTCTAAGATGGTCTAAATTTGTTTGAACAACTCAAAGACCCATTAAACAAACCTAATGTCTGACAGAAACTACAAGCAAGTGTAATACAGTATGTCTATTTTTGACACTGTTTATGAAAGCACTCGGGTTATTATATCATAAACTAACACTAAAACTAAAGCTATTAAAACATTTTTGTTATTTGCAATAGAGCTGAAATATAACAAAATATAACTATTAGACTTAAACTAAATGAAAATTTGAATATTTACCTTTGCTGCTAACTGAAATAAGTAGTAAAAATAGTCAAATGAATAACTGGAAATAAATAAAAACTAAAACTTTATTAAAAATTATTAAATTAAAGGGATAGTTAAACAAAAATGTACATAAAACTGAAAAATAAAATAAAAAAGCAATTAAAATATTAATAAACACTACAATAGTATATACTTATTCTACTTACTACTACTTATTTTTACTATTTATTTAAAACTGAAAATATATAAAAGGCTATCAAAAATATTAATAAAAATATAATAATATGAGAATTTGGCAATGGAATTACATGATTTATGTGATATGTGGCGTGCATGGAACATATTCTCTAGTTGGCCGTCAAATCGCTGATTCTCACGGGCTAGTTGACCAGTCAGTTGTGTGGCTTCACGTGCTTCAGTGGTATAATCTAAATCAGCCTTAAAACGGGGGTCAGGGGTCACTCACCGCGGTATTTGGTAATAACAGCAGAGTTGTGACAGAGAGGCTCTTGGAAGTAAACTCTGAGACTGGTGCTACTGCTGACAGATAGATCGACGACGCTGGGCGGCTCAGGAGGACCTGAAATCAACACAAAGACACACTCAGTGTCACACACGGCTGCTGTAACTTCAGGTGTGTGTATTACTCCTGTGTGTGTGTGTTACTCACTGGCGTGTGTGTATCCCGTCTGCATGCGTTTGTAGAGGCGGAGCTTCCATTCCCAGGTTTTCAGCTGTCTCTCTCTGTTTGACTCCTCCCTCTCCCCAGGCTCCTCCCCCGTCACCTGGGCAACCAGCTCTGCTATGCGATGCTCCGCCTCTTGCACCAGCGAGGCCAGGTGAGCGGCTCTGCCTTCAAGACTTAAAACTAGAGAATACAAGAAACACATTAAACAAACACCTGCAAACATCTTGTCAATTCATGAAAAATAAACTAGAGTTTGGATTTTTCAAATGGATTTTTTAACCCAGGAACACAGTTTTAAGTTTTTTTTTGTTTGTTTTTTTAAAGAATGACAAGAAAGGAAAAGATGACTTTTTTTTTTTTTTTTTTTCATTTTCTTTGAAAAAAAATTGGGCTCAATTTCTATTTTCTTTTTCAATTCCACTGAACATTTCACAGTATTTCCTCCTAAGGCTTTCAAGCTAAATTTATTCCCAATCATATTACTGATGTACAAACTACATTGTACTCTACAACTGTACATTGTATGGTTAAACTGCAGTAATTAATATTAATATATTTTAAATGTGTACTATAAAACTGAGTTATGAATGAGCCATGTTCACCACTGTAAAATAGCTAATAAGCAAATTAATGCAAATAATCTTTGACAGCTATCTTTGATACTTTGTTACAATATATGGTTGAATTTCAGGAAATGCTTCATATTAAATGTTTCATCATATTTTACCCCAAAATGAGCTAAAGCATTCAGATTTGTACATTTTTATGAAAATTTTCACTAAAAACGGCATTACCTCAATGTAAAAAAAAAAAAATAAATAAATAAATACACCTTTTTCCTCACTTGAATATGGTAATAGCAATTAAATGTTTTTAAATCAACATAAATTAAGTTCAGAACAGCAAATACTACCATGATAATTTACAATATGATTAGTTACAATAAAAATAATAATTTAATAACAAAAAAAATTTAATTAAATAATTTAATGTTGAAAATAATGTTATAATGTTAAAAATCATAATGCTCCTAAAGTTACACTTCATGTTCTTCATGCAAAAATATATACTATAATATAATATAATACTGTAAAATTACATTAAAATATAATGTGCATATTTTTATATACTAAATGTAATATTTAATTTTTTTATTTTAAGATGACCTGGACATTCACAAACATCCTACAGTAGAAATAATGATACCTATATAAAGTGGCGGAAAAATGCACATTATGTTTTGATCATTGGTGTTGCATACCATATCAAATTGCTGCTGCCGCTGTTTGATTGAAGCAATAAGCCACTACCGCTTTATTGTAATGTACAGCATGTGGCCAACATCTGTAGAAGTATGGTTTATGATTCATAAAGCGGGACTCGTGCTGCATGTGTTTGATCACAGGGAGTGTGTACTCACAGTGGGGACTCTCTTTGGCCCCGGCTCTCAGCAGAAGTTTGGCCATGGGGACGTTGTTGGTCATGATGGCGATGTCGAGCGGCAGCAGTCCTTCACTGTTGGGTGTGTTTAAGTCCAGCTCCTCCAGACTGAAGGTGTTCAACAGAGACTCCACGACATCCAGCTCCTGATGCTCCACAGCTTCAAACAGAGCCTCGTTTCCCTGGAACTACACGTGCATGCATAGATATACATCACTCACGTGGAAAAACGCATGCAAACACATGCATGCATGCTTTAAAACCGCAAACACACATGCATGAAATATATCAATGCCATTTTTGACTGAATATGATTTGCAATAAGGTTCTTTGAAGGTTAAAGCATCAACACTTGTGACTGGTTGCTTTATATGTCAGTCATATGTGACCCTGGAGCACAAAACCAGTCGTAAGTAGCACGGGTATATTTGTAACAATAGCCAACAATACATTGCATGGGTCAAAATTATTGATTTTTATTTTATGCCAAAAATCATTAGGATATTAAGTAAAGATTCTTTATTTTGTTAATTTCCTACTGTACATTTTTCAAAATAAATTTTTGATTAGTAATATGCATTGCTAAGAACTTCATTTGAACAACTTTAAAGATGATTTTCTCAATATTTGCCACTTTAGTAAAAACAAACTAACAATGATAAATTACTTATATAAAAAGACATTTATTATTCTTAGTTAGTTCATTTCAATATTTACTAACACATTATTACTAAAGTTGTATTATTTAACGGACCTGAGCTGACAATGATCAGATGTATTTTTATTCATTAACATTTACAAAGATACAGTTAATTAAATTATATTAGCAACAAAAAATAAATAAATACAGTAATGAATTGCTCATTGTTAGTTAATTTTAGTTAATGTATTAATGTTAACTAATGGTTCCTTATTTTAAACATCTTTAAATATTTTAATAAATAAATTATAAACTATAATTATTATTAATTAATATTGATTATTATTAGTAGTAGTAAAATTATTTTTTTTAAAAACTACTAAAAAAAATACTTGACTTGAGATGCAAAGTTATGCTTAACTTTTCAGAGAATAAATCTTGAATTAAGTTTGAATAAGTCCTAAATTTGGTCCCTTACAATCTTTCTTGCAAATTCTTGTTCTAAAACAGAATAAATTAATGAGGTTTGTTCTAGAAAAAATAAAATCGAGTAAGAATGGAAGGAACTAAAAGTAAAATTTGAATAATGAGTAGCTGAAAAACCCATATTGATTGATGATTTATATTAATATTGACACGTATACCCTGATATGAAGATTCATTCAGAGGGGCTTCAGGTTTGGAAAGAGAACAAAGCGCTCCAAGAACTACAACTGTCACAAATGCTCTCGTATTAGGACGGTGCGTCGTCCGCGTCGGATACAGGCGAACACCTCCGAGTGCTCTGATAATAACGCGGTTATTTTAACGGGCAGGTATGTGCTGTGTGCAGATAAAAGTGGGTATATTTGTGGCAGGCCGGATCAGTTTCAAAGGCGGCTGATCTCTGGGCTTAAAGTTTCTCCTCTTGTGCCGAACACACGGGCTGCTGAGCGAACAGCGCGCACTGACATGAAAGACTAGCAGATGAAAGAACGAGGGATAAAGAGAGAAAGACAAAAGAAACAGGGACACCACATGTTAACACAGGCGTCTCAGAACTCCATCAGACGAATAGTGATAGAAGAGAACAGACACACACACACACACACACACAAACAGAGCCTCGTTTCCCTGGAACTACACGTGCATGCATAGATATACATCACTCACGTGGAAAAACGCATGCAAACACATGCATGCATGCTTTAAAACCGCAAACACACATGCATGAAATATATCAATGCCATTTTTGACTGAATATGATTTGCAATAAGGTTCTTTGAAGGTTAAAGCATCAACACTTGTGACTGGTTGCTTTATATGTCAGTCATATGTGACCCTGGAGCACAAAACCAGTCGTAAGTAGCACGGGTATATTTGTAACAATAGCCAACAATACATTGCATGGGTCAAAATTATTGATTTTTATTTTATGCCAAAAATCATTAGGATATTAAGTAAAGATTCTTTATTTTGTTAATTTCCTACTGTACATTTTTCAAAATAAATTTTTGATTAGTAATATGCATTGCTAAGAACTTCATTTGGACAACTTTAAAGGGGATTTTCTCAATATTCTGATTTTTTTGCACCCTCAGATTCCAGATTTTCAAATAGTTGTATCTCAGCCAAATATTGCCCTAACAAACCATACATCAATGGAAAGCTTATTTATTCAGCTTTCAGATGATGTATAAATCTCACTTTTTAACAAATGTATCCTTTATGACTGGTTTTGTGGTCCAGGGTCACATATGTAAGTGGGCGGTTCTTAGCCAGAACAAGCTGCAAAGTCATAATTGAATAGTTATGTGAGACTATTTTAGTTTCTGTTATTGCATAGTTCTTGTTGAAGTGTTTGAATCTCACCATGGTGGTTTTGTGCGAATGGTCCTTGTCTGACTGGCTCGGGAGCGCCGCATCATCCAGAGCCAAGTTGGCCGTGCGGAACTTTCCAGACAGGTTTCTGTAGAGGCGTCGCGCGGCGCTCGGCGGAGACGAACATGACGTGCTGGAGTGTTTGCGTGGAATCAGAGGATGGGGGTCGGGAATCTGTTGAGTCATTTCGGATTCAGCCCTGAAAAAGAAAATACACACGAAATCAGAATTTACGAGATGCTGTCAGCACTGGCCTCAGGACAAAATAATAATAATAAAAAAAGTGTAATTTATTTTCTTTGAAGGTTTATATTCAGTGTGCAAAAAAATAGTAAAATTATTTTTTTTAAAAACTACTAAAAAAAATACTTGACTTGAGATGCAAAGTTATGCTTAACTTTTCAGAGAATAAATCTTGAATTAAGTTTGAATAAGTCCTAAATTTGGTCCCTTACAATCTTTCTTGCAAATTCTTGTTCTAAAACAGAATAAATTAATGAGGTTTGTTCTAGAAAAAATAAAATCGAGTAAGAATGGAAGGAACTAAAAGTAAAATTTGAATAATGAGTAGCTGAAAAACCCATATTGATTGATGATTTATATTAATATTGACACGTATACCCTGATATGAAGATTCATTCAGAGGGGCTTCAGGTTTGGAAAGAGAACAAAGCGCTCCAAGAACTACAACTGTCACAAATGCTCTCGTATTAGGACGGCGCGTCGTCCGCGTCGGATACAGGCGAACACCTCCGAGTGCTCTGATAATAACGCGGTTATTTTAACGGGCAGGTATGTGCTGTGTGCAGATAAAAGTGGGTATATTTGTGGCAGGCCGGATCAGTTTCAAAGGCGGCTGATCTCTGGGCTTAAAGTTTCTCCTCTTGTGCCGAACACACGGGCTGCTGAGCGAACAGCGCGCACTGACATGAAAGACTAGCAGATGAAAGAACGAGGGATAAAGAGAGAAAGACAAAAGAAACAGGGACACCACATGTTAACACAGGCGTCTCAGAACTCCATCAGACGAATAGTGATAGAAGAGAACAGACACACACACACACACACACACAACATAGTTTCCCACCACACAACTACTGTGAGGTCCAAACATCTGAGACCACACGGAAAACCCGGGATTCCAAATCTGATTTGTATCGGGAAGATTTAGAATTCTGAAACATTTACAAACAAAGAAACATTGTAACACTTCTGTATGTTGATCATGTGACTCTTTGAACAGACAGTCAGATTGTCTTCTTCCACTGAATCTCAAATCATGCTGGAGAACATGTTGATTTTTCAATTCTAACATATTTGTAATTCAAAATGCTATTCGTTTGAAAAATGCTTGCACAGTAACACACACTTATTTCAATTGTGCACGCACACACACACACACACACACAGCCAAGTTGGGGGCAAAAGTGCTCAAATATCTGAGGATTGTGTCTGGCATCACATCAAAAGGCGAAGCAAAATTTAGCACGCAAATACGAGCACATTTAACACGTCCAGTAAGTCAAGGCTAAATGAGAATAGGCCATAGTATGGAAAATTTAGTGAGTAATGCCTCCGTCTAAGAATAATAGCCATTGAGAACAGTAGGCGCATATAAACACATGCAATCCTGCACACATGTGCATGTGTTGAGCTCACTGATGGTAAGAGATTACTCTTTACCGTTTCCCCGAACACATGTTCACATTTACCTCCGAGATCAAACTCTGCCCGATAGCACTGCTAATGTGGCCGCTAAATTATCCGCTTTGTTTCACGTGAGACAACGAGAAAAGCCAGAGAGTATTTTTGTCACTCGTTTTTTAGATCTGATGTTGCTGTACAGAAAATAAATGACAACGGGAACGTTCTGTGCTTTCTTAATGACGTTCCTGGGCTTATTCTGCACAATTCGTCAATGCATGTTATAAGAGAAGCAAAAAATCATCATATTTCATTAAAAAAAAATGAAAAACTCGCTCTTTCTCTGAAATGATTTTCGATTAACACCATCCATTATTCAGGCCATTTAGTAATGTTAACCAACAGCCAAATAGCTATTTAGGCATTCTTTTAGCAAACGTGCATCAGATTATAGAAATGAAATGTCATTTTTGTAAATAAAAATGTCAATTTTACACATAACAGATAAACACTGACAGCAAGAACAAATATGAAGAGAGCATTAACTTTTAGTATTGCACTTCATTTGTTATGTGTAATGTGATGCACAATTCACAGCCTTCATATCTTTACCTTTTTTAAAATTATAATATACTTTCAATTAATGTTTGGTTCAGGCTTTACTGAAGATTTTTTATTTACATTTTGGTAACACTTTACAATAAGGTCTCATTCGTTAACGTTAGTTAATGCATTAATTGAACATGAAATAACAGTGAAAAATGTATTTTTACAGCATTTGTTAATAGGGCTGTGTATCGGCAAGAATCTGGCGATACGATACATATCACGATACAGGGGTTGCAATACGATATATTGCGATACATTGCGATACTGTAAGCAAGGCGATATATTGGGATATTTCTTATTTTAGGAATAGGATATATTTTTAAAAAAGCTGTCATTAAGAACACACCACCATATGCAAACCTTAGCAAAAATAAATAAATAAAAATTGTTTAACCAAAACACACTGGGATCTGCATTTTCAATAATCAGTCCCTGTAACATTCAACGTTATTAAACTACTTTTTGTGCAGTGCGAGTAAAGGGGGAAAAATTCAAGTGCTTGCAGGATTCTTTAGTTAAATGTATATGTATAAAATGTATTTTATAAAAAGACCATATATATTTTTAGACCCTGCTTTAAAGGTTCACAGTTTAAGTTTACAATTGTGACATAGAATGTCATAACATTTTGATCTGAACAAAAAATTATCTGCTTAATATCAATGAAAAATACAGTTCTTGCAGGATTCCTAAAGAAAACAAAACAATTGTAAAAAATAAAATAAATACAGATGTTGAACATTCTCAGAACCTTTCAACTTGGATTTCACAGGTTTTTCAGTTTGTATTTATGTACCACGTGGATTCACCGAGACCGCGACGCGAGCACCGCCCCAACTGCACAAAACGCCCCCACCACGAGAGAAAGATTCAGCCGCGCGGCGACCCTACTGCCCGCCGCGCCCCGCTCGAAGGCTCTTCACACGGGACGCAGCAAGCGGCGGAACCGAGGTGCTACCCACGCCGCGGTCGCAGGCCGGACGTTACCCCAAAAGTCCAAATGACGCCACACTTCAGCTTTGTACACCGTAAATGTATAATTTTAAAATTATACATTTCGTTAATTTTAAGGATAGTTATTTAGTGGATTTAGGTATCTCAACAAATTTTAAGTTGTTCTAATTGCAGCAGCATTTTTTACAGTGTTTGAAATTACTGTAGAGAAAATCAGTGGAAAAAGGTTTTATTTACTATTAGTTTCAACACTTTCGACAACAGCGATACCTATGACTGTGAATTGTGCATCTTCAAAAAAAAAACAGAATCTAAATGTAGAAATTAGAGAGTAGCTAACGATTAAATATTGTGTTGCATTCATAAAACGATCACAATTGCAAAACAATTGTAAGAGCAATTCACATTCTCTGACTCAACGTTATTCAATTCAGTTGCATTGTATTCAATTAATATAACCAAGAAAGAACATCAGGTAATGCTAGCCGTAATACAATTACATATCAAACAGAACAAAAGCCGAGACGTTTTCACTTAAACTACACAGTAACAAGTTTGTGAATGATTTTACTTATTAGGTTAACTCTGACATAGAACAAAGTAAATAAAGTATAAATTTAGAGAAACATGTTTGATTCTAAACAACTGCAAGCATGGATTTTATGTCGATAAATGACTGCAATAACAATAGCAATGCACCAATATGTGCGAGAAACTCCAGTCGAAGTAACATGCCAATTCTTTTACGTCGTCATCAATCAAATGAAACTCCGGTGACATTTGGAATGTTTTATGACAAATGCGCAAAGAGCGGACGGGACAACGTCTCTCTTTCTTTTAGAGTAGCTGGCTATGACAGACGGAAAGGGGGCTGAGGGACTCCTCTCCGAGGGTTATATGTGGCTGCGAGAAGGAGAGTCTGAAATTTGATTCTTGGCACCAGACAGACTGCAGTCCGACCAGCCAAAATTTGGAGGGGGAGTGTGTGTGACAGTAAGCAACAGGAGGGGGGCAGTGAGGACAGTATTACCGATCAGTGTGTGTGTGTTACTAGGGTCAACAGAACCCGTCTCTCTCTCTCTTGTGTACTTCAGGCCTAGTGGAGCCAGTCTAACCCTTCGACCTCTCACACACACAATGGGGAATCAAAGCTAATCAGTTGATTCCCTCGCCGTTTGAAAGACACGCCGACAGGTTTGCTTGTCACCACTGAAATCTTCAGCATGCAAACGCACTTCAGAATTAGAATCTCACAAGAATGGGTCACATTTCACCTCAAAATTAACAGACAAGAAATAAAATGTTACGTTTTGCATAAAGTAAATTTTTAAGAATGTGGCCAAATTTGAATGAAAATTAAGCAAATTTTCCACCTGAAATTCTCATTACTTTAATGATTCTGGATGTTTTACTTCAGTTTCTTTTTTCTCAATAGTGATTCTTATAATACATTTTCATAATACAGATCAAAAGGATACAAATTTTAACTTCTGTATGTTTACTGAAATGTTTTGTTTAAATATGTAAATGAGTTATTATCTAATTAAATATGCACTAATTTGCAAACATTTCCAAAATAAAAAAATCTGAAAATTGGTTAAAGCCAGGTTTAAAATTCTTGTTGCATTTTGTTGGCATATTGGCATATTTTGGATATCTCTTTTTATCACTTCATAAATCAGAAAATACTGTCAACTGACAGACAAAAATAGATTTTCAACATATTTTTAGTAAAAAAATTTATATTTTAATATATATATATATATATATATATAGATAAATATACATTTTATTTTTTGAACATACACTTCAGAATATAGATAGGAATAAAACTATAAAGTTTGGTGCTACTGAAGTTGAGATTTCTCATTTTGACAAAGCAGCCTTTATATACAGTATATACATGATGATTGAAATCTACAGTTGCAAATAGATAAAATCAACACTCAAAATTGCAATAAATAAATTGAAAAAAGCTAAATTGACCACAAAATTGACCTTATTTTGCCTGCAGTGTCTTACTTTAAAATGTTTAAATTCTTTAAATATATTTTAAAATTTAAATTATATATATAAAGACACTTTTCTGAATAGCAATATAAATAAAAGATTGCCTGATTGCAAAACAAAAACCTCCAAAAAGTTTCATTTTCATTAAATGAAATGCAATTTCTTTCATTTGAATTTGCAGTGAAATGCGTTTCGTGAGATTCACCCGTGCACACACGCGTGCCGCTTTGATGGCATTAGAACAGGAGCAAGTTTGTTTAACGCATTAAAGCCGTGGTCTTTTCCCATTGCGCATTTGCGTGTTTCTGTGGCGGGCGTATGCGTTCTAATCCACTCAGATTAAGAGATTAAGCGCGGGAGTATTTGTGTGCATGCGGCGGTATGCGCGTGTGTTGACGCAGTAGTAGTCACTCCCCTGTGAGAGTGTTTGCTGTGTGGAGTTCAACTGCCCGCCACCTGTTCGCCCCCCACCCCAGGGGGCAAATCTCTCTAATTCTGATGAGCAGAGACAGAAGACCGTCGCCATGGGGATGTTCCGAGACGCGCGTGTGAGCACGGTATCAATCAATGTATGAATGCATGTGCACCGATGTGTCTTTGTGCATCGGCCCCGTACGTGTGTGTGTGACGTTAGGCCCGTCTAAGAGGCTCTGGCGACAGACAGCTCGGCGTGCAGGAGGTGACAGGGAGTCTGCGTGAGTCTCTGCGCGGCCCCGAAAACAGGGGGGCCCAGCCCGCATCGTGCCCAGCCAGGGTGGCTACATCCTGGGGACACGCCGACCTGAGACTCCCTGGAGTTATATGCGTCTCTGGAGCCCGGCTCCCAATCTGCCATATGCCACGACCGCCGATACGCACCTCTTCTCATGCACAAACAAAAGCACATAAACTCGCAGTTTGGGAATATAGAAGCGCATAGCAGGTTTACAATCGGATGATTTAAATACCTTTTAACTCATTTACTTGAAGGAAAAATGAGAAAAAATGAAAATTGTCATCATTTACTCAACCTCAAGTTGTTCCCAACCTGTATGAGTTTCTTTCTTCTGTTGAACGTAAAACAAGATATTCTAAAGAATGTTGGAAAACAAACAGTTGCCGGTAGCCATTGAGTTCCACAATCTGAAAAAATAAATACTATGGAAGTCAATGGGTACCATCATAGATATATATATATACATAGATTCCTCATTAGCGACTGTTTCTATGGGCGGCGATACGTAAGCCATCCTCCATTTTTGGAACGGTCTGAGAACCTTTGAGTGCATTGACTGTGTGCGTCTACAACAGCAAGTTATACACTTGTATATATTTGAATATTCATTGATTATTATGGTGAATGACGTCAAGTTGACCGTTCCAAGATGGCGGACGCGTCAACGTATCCGCAGCGGTCAAATAGGGAATCTATACATATAAATATTTAAAAATATTTTCTTTTACATTCAACAGAAGTTTTCATTTTTGGGTGAACTATCCCTTTAAATTATTTTTCCCAGTCAAAAACGACTGGCCTTTTAAAAATTGCTTGTAAATCTCTCATTATACTGTATTATCACCAAATCTTGGATTCAATCTTCCAATTAGCACAGGTTTGAATTTCTTTTTGGAACTGATTGGTTCTAGGTCCATTTTGGAGTGAAAAATTTTTTTTTATGGATATTTTTGACAAATGTCTCCTTAAAAACTGAGGTGAATGAGCTCAGATCATTGAGGTCTATGATCAATCAGTTCCAAAAAGAAATACAAAACCTGTGCTAACTGACAGAAAACAAGCTGACAAAAAGATTGAATCCAATATTTGGTCGTAATAAAGTATAATGATCAATTTATAAGCCGGTCATTTTTGACTGGGAAGACCACAAGTGTAACAAAGTTACAAAAAATCCCAAAAAAGTACAAAAAACTATATGTGAACAAAGTCAGTACATTTTAGTCCAATGTGATAAAATTAACTAGCAATTTCTGCAAAAAGAAAATCATAAACATATTTCATTCAACAAAAAAGTTTATCTGTGCCATATAAATATATTTATACAAATTAACTATATTAATGACCAGCTCTTTATATAATGTTGGATATATAAAGTAAGTCCAACTGTATTCGCATACATACTCACATAAAGCAATATATACTATATAGCAAATCTCAACTGCTTGATTGCTTGTATCGTCACAAAATGTTATTATATTATCTGATAAATGCAACTATAAGGCATGAAGATTTATTTTAAACATTAACATCATGATTTTGTGTAAAGCTGCTTTGAAACAATGTGTGTGAATTGTAAAAAGTGCCACACAAATCTGACTTAATACCATGCTATTCATTAAAGTACTTTGAAGCACCATTAAAGAATTTCCAAAATGAGTAATTGTGGTCAAGGTCTGGTAATTTTTCTTAAACAGTAAAGAAAAAAAGGCTGAGAGATTCATGTGCCTTTAACACGATGTGCATGTTGATGATCTCAATAAAAGCTCCCAAGAAAAGCATGTTTGAAGTGAGTCAGATTTGTGAGTTTTGGACATGCATCAGCCGTGACAGACGGAGAGGGTGGAGAGCAGAGAGACAGTCAGAGCTGGAGTCATGATGTCTGTAGAGATGAGCGGAGGAAAAACCACGGCTAACTAGCGGCGTTCAGAGCCAACATGGCTTGTCTGGCATCTTTTGAGCCCAAATGTCTGGTCTACCTCTCGCAAACTGCTTTTTAGCTGATTGATTTATTGAATTGATGTAAATGTTGTGGTACCAGTCTAAGCTGAGAGAGCGCCTCCTGTAGGCCGGAGGTCTGGACGACTGACTCCTGTCCTCCTTGCAGTGTTTGTCCTTCAAAGAGAGTCTCTGGGTGAACTTCACGATCCCAGACTCAGTCCTGAGAAACACAAACACACGGAAATAGCATGATTACTGTAATAGATCCACTGATTTACTCAATGTTTCCCTACACACACACACACACACACGCTGCCTGAGAGTAGTCCAGAGTTTTACCAAACATTTTCCATCAAAGTTCCATCATAAACATTTGATCTTCAATTACAAACAAACAGTACAATTAATTTCAGTCATTTCAGTGTCACTTTAAAAAAGCAGATCAACTTTTTCTATCACTTCAATCAAAACTCCTTCTTGCCCAAAACTAAAAGGATGAAGATCATGAACATGAAATAAAACATATCTAGTAATAATAATAAAAATATAAAATAATAAAACATAATAAAATATAATAATATGGACAGTAATAAAATAATAATAATAAATAATAAGCAAAATATGGATAATTATAACAAAACAAACAATAAATATAAAAAATTAAACACAATACATGAATAAATAAATTAAAATATTTTCATTGTTTTACATTTTTCAAAATCCAACAATCTTGTTTATTTCCAGGTTTTCAATTTTTTCACCAGTCCAGAGTTTTACCAAATATTTTCCATCAAATTGTTCCATCATGTTTCATGTGTATAAATATTGGATCTTTAATTACAAACAAATAGTACAAGCAACCATTTCAGCATCACTTTAAAATATGTAAACTTTTTATACTTTATAAATCAAAAATCCTTTTGCCCAAAATTAAAAGGACAAACATCAATAAAATAAAATAAAATAGGACTATATTTAATAATAAAATTATTATTATTACTATTATAAATAATAATAATAATAATAATAATAACAACAACAAATGTGGATACTATAACTAAATAATAAACAAATTAAATTTAAAAACAATAAATTAAATCTTTTCACTTTTTTACATCTTTCAAAATCCTAAAACTTTGTTTACAGGTTTTCTTTTTATTATTATTTTTTATTTATTCTTTTTAATCCCAGGTTTTCACATTTTTTTTTAGAAGACTTTTAATGAGGTCTGAAACTGTTGTCACATTTTATGTTACATTTTTAAAAACTTGGAAGGAAAATATGTCCAATTATCCAAAACTAACGTTGCAATAAGGTGCAATATGACCTGGAATGTTCTTCATGAGATTCTCCTGTAAAACTTTATGTAAGAGGTACTTGCGTGTGTTGATTTTGTGGTCTCATTAGCAACAGTGTCGTCACAACAGCAGTAGCGGACGCTATATATGCAGATCTGTGCGTGTGAGGCTGACAGCGCTGTAAATGCGTGAATGAACGATCCTGCAATCGCTTAATGACAAACAAGTCAACAAGTGCGACTGAAGAATGTTTCAACAGTGAAGGACAAGGTCAGCGGGTGAACGGCGGTGGCATGAGAGGTGACCGCATCCGTATTTCTAGAGGGAATGTTCCTAGATAGAAGCCGTTTGGGAATAAGACAGGAAGAAGGACAGCGGGATGAATCTGATTCCGCCGGCAGCTGTTCTGGATGACACTGCGCTCGGTCGGGGTCCCATGTGCTGATGTAATGCCATTAGAAGATTTCTTACAGTAGGAAGGCCTGAGTGATGACATCACCTCCTTCAAGAGCTCACCCGCGCCGTACGGACACGTACACACAAACGGCCGAGTAAAAATAAATACCAAACATAAACACAGCACAAGTCAACGCTTAATTCATATGCACTTTTAGACATGATTGAGCGCGAGAGAGAGAAGATCTGTTTCAAAATTAACTCAGCTGCGCAAAGCATTCTGGGATTGCCTTCTTTATGAAGGATACACTGATGAATTTGGCTAACAGAACACTCAAAAAAATATTTGTGCTAAATTAAGAATTTATGTATTTGAATTGCATATAAAATTTCCATGCATTTTGATTGCACAGTTTTAAACTAATACATCAATGAAACATGTCAAATGTCTGTAATAGTAACAATAAACTGAATGTGTTTTAAATACACAATAACCAATAGAGGTAGAAAACAGATAAGATTCATGCACTCAAAAAATCATGGCATAGTTTATGAACTATGTGCATCTATTTGAATACTTTCTAAATTAATTTATCACCATTGTGAAATCAGTTACATTAATTCAGTTACAAAGTATGAACATGGTTAAAATATGGCTAGTGGTGAACAAGCAATATTCAGTTAAAATGAATGAAATTGAAATGAATTGTACTTATAAATGAACTGGGTTTTTTTGCACATAGTTTAGACCAAAAAAAAGCGAACAAACTTGATGAGATGCATAATTGGCAGCAGTGTTAAGTGTAATGCATTACTAAGTAATTACTTACTATAATTTAATTACTTTTCCCTTAAAAAAGTAATTACAATTACTTCTGATGTAACTGCATTAAATATTGTATAAACTATAGAACAATTCTATATAAATAGTGGATATAACATCATTTAAAAATTTAAAATCTTTTAATGTAACCTTCTCCCTTTATATATGTTGGTCAGTCCAACAATAATTTATGCAATTTTATATTATTATTACATACTAAATGAAACGGGTCAGATTTCTATAGTAGTACTAATAAAAATCTGAATAAATGCATTTTGAAAATATGATTATTTAAATAAAATTATATAGATGCAAATAGTTAATAATAATGGCATGATTTTTGGGTGCATAAATCTGGCCTGTTTCATTTATGTGTGTTAAGTTAATTAGTTTGTTAATGGAAATGTGGCATACAATTCACAGTATTACTAGTAGTACTATCTGTATGCTGTCTAGGTAGGCATCTGGCTAGGTTTTGGAATGGATCTGGAGAGCGAGGGAGAGACGAGCGTCTGTCTGTGTTGTTTGATGTTGATGGGCGCTCAGACTGCAGCCAGTGCACAGATCCAGCGCTTCGGCGCAGGCTGCTCATTAGACAAGCACATAAATACCAAACACACGCAGTATTAAACAGCAGAGCCAGCGCAGACAGAAACCGGTTAGTTAGGGCTAAAATAAAAGCTCTCCATACCGCACATCAAATGTGTTGTGCCTTTATTCCATTTAAAGGCTTTGACCCTCACATACACACACACACACACACACACACACGTTAGTACTGGGGTTTGTGTGTTCAAAGAACAAAAATCATCATTAAAATGACTCAGAAGAGAAGAATTGACTTAATCTTCAAATCATGAGTGTGAATTTAATTTGAATCAGTCACGCCCCTCAATGGAAGTTCAACTGCCGTTTAAAATTGAGTGACAGGAGCAGGAATTTACTGAATTCACAATTCAACGAAATTCAACATCAGTGATGCATTCTGGGAAATGAAGTGTTCTTCCACCCAAATAAAAAAATAAATAAATTTATTAAATCTAATATTAAAAATTTCTGGCCATTCGTCTGTCTATCTATCTATCTATCTATCTATCTATCTATCAATTGCTTGAATGCAACAACAAAATACAACGTCAAACTCACTTTAGCGTAGCCTATATATAAAACATAGAACTTTTATTAACAAAACAAATACAAATGCACCATGCTATAGGGCAGGCTATGCCTAATATAAAATAACAAATAACATACATAAAGTTTAAATAGGTATACAAAACTGGAAATAGGCTAAGTAAACATGTATAATATATACATTCATCTCTCTATCTGTCTCTCTATCTATCTCTCTATCTGTCTCTCTTTCTATCTCTCTATCTATCTATCTCTGTCCATCCATCAAGTATATACACCTTCAAATTTTGAGGCTTCTTAAACTTTTGTCAAAACTTTCAAATCAACATTAAAAGTTTGTCTTGATAAATTATGCTAGTTGAAAAAAAACTGTTAAATGAGTTTCTTTGAATTTCAACTAATTCCCATTCTTCTTCCTGACATTTAAATTTGAATTGCAATTTGAAATCTTGACCAAATCCAGGAAATAAATTGGAATTTAAAAGGCATTCACAATTCAATTCTAAATGACTGCTATATTATGACGACTGATCAACAGCCTGTGTAGTCAAAAAGTAATTTCAGAAGCTGAAAAGTGGGTATGTTCTTGATTATAAAGAAAAACACATGAATATCAACACCTAATACAGCTATAAACACATACAGTACAGTCTAGTACACACTTCTGATTCATTTTCCCAGAACTCTGAAATAAAAGTGGCTTCTCTAGAGGGCCACCTACTTGCCCCCTCTCTCTCTCTCTCTCTCTCTCTCTGTGGTCTTTGCCGGAATGCCGTAATGGACCGAAAGCGTCTCCAATCTTGTCGTTCCCTCCAGAATCCCACAATTCCACAGGGCGTCAAGATTCCAATCAGAGTGGAGACGGCCATCAGGGGGATTATTTATGCTGGAGCGTATCACGAGCACGTGACCGTGCCATACATTTATAGACGCAAACCACACACACGCTCGGTATGTGTGTGTGAGTGTCTGGCGCGGCACTGCTGGGGAACCGTCAGACTTTTCATGGCCAAACCACATCAAAGACACAAACCACAACGCCAGCCCCTCCACACACACACACACACACACACACACACACACACACACGGCTGAGTCAACCTTTACACATACACACATCAACCACGAAACCAAACACTGAAACATGCACACTTATTAAAGTTATTAGACTGTCTATGTGAAAAATGCTTATGTGGGTCAGAGAGAGAGAGAGAGACAGAGAGACATGCGCACACTGCTGCCATATATCATTCATGCTAATTCATTTGATTTTCTCCCTTTAGTTATGCAAGCCACAATAACTAGTCTGACAACTGAAGGTTTATGTGATTTGTTCACAATTGCTTGCTAGACGTTCAAACGTGAGACTGCAAATGGTTACGGCGCATGCATTTTATTCCTCGCTAATTCGGTTCGTTCACTAATTGCACACAAAAACAATGTGACTGGTTGAATTTGACTTCTGAGCGTAAGGCCACACAGGTTTCATTTTGTCTGCCTGACTGGAAAGTCTTCCAAAGTTTGCCAACATTTAGTCCGAGACACTTAGCAGCAAGTAAACCACATATTCACAAACGAAAATTGTATATTTCAGAGTTATGATCAAAAAATAAACTGTCTACACACATTTTTAGGTAAAAAAAAAATGGAAAAAGTGATTCATATTCAATTTGATTTAAGACAACTTATGGGACATACTGTATGTGACAGGTCTCTAAAAAGTTCAAAGTGTTTTTTTTATTAATTTAAGAAATGAATACTTTTATTTAGCAAGGAAGCATTAAATTGATCAAAAGTGACAGTAAAGACATTTAAATGTGTGTTCTTTTGAATTGCATATTCATCAGAGAATCCTGAAAAATAAAATATGAAGCAACACAACTGTTTTCAACATTGATAATAATGAGAACTGTTTCTTGAGCAGCTAATCCGCATATTAGAATGATTTCTGAAGATCATGTGACACTGAAGACTGGAGTAATGATGCTGAAAATTCAGCTTTGATCACAAATAAATTACATTCTAAAATATATTCATATAGAAAACAGCTTTTTAAATTGAAATAATATTTACAAATTTTACAGTATTTCTGATCAAATAAATGCAGCCTTGGTGAGCAGAAGAGAATTCTTTTAAAAAACATTTAAAAATCTTACTGATCCCAAACTTTTTTTGTTTGATTTTAGATTTCGTGAAATTATTAAATATGATTTTGTTGCTTTGCACAGTGTTTCACTTTCAGCAAAGATGAAAAATTGCCTCTGGAAAGGACACGTTATTGAACTGCTACAGGGAGCCGTTTATTTGCGACCAGAACACACACACTAACTAATTGCTGACAATGATGACATACTAATTAGCCCAAATAACCAACACTACATCAGCTATCATCGATCTGGGGTGAGAAATCTCACAAAGCGGCTTTATATAACCTACCCAGAGAGGAACACAAGGCTTCATCTTGTGCGCATCCTTTGATCAGATCCGATCAGTGGTTCAGTTCTCATTAGTCAGCCATTAGTGACAGATTTAGGAGATCTGCCATTTTCAATCAAGTAACCAAGGTAACATGGTGTTCTTGTTGATAGGAAGGCTCTCCTACGCCACATTGTGTGACAGTTTCATAATTCACAGACTCAGAAAGACACAGACCCCCAAATAATGAGATGATTTATCATGTCGGGAGCACTAAAACATTAAAGAGACTTGCTGTTGAGATGCAACACAGATGTGCAAATGCAAGTGATGCGTAACCTACAGGTAACACAAGCAATTTATTGTGCTAACATATCCAGCGCACTATAGCGCTGCAGTGCTGTTATAAGACTTGTCGATACTGTAGTAACCTGATCTTTAATGCATTCACTTCTATGAGATACGGTTTCATTTTTATTGACTTGTGAAGCCTCATTTTAACTTAATCTTTAGGCTTTTGACTTTCGACTCAATGTTTATTATAATCTCTTCGTTCTTTATTGATTATCGCTCAAGTGAATCTATGCTATTGAACAAAGCAACAACCCATCTGACAACACACGACGGACTGTAGGACTGTATACATGCATATATCTGCTAATTTTGTCAACTTTTAGGAGTCCCTTGAATGGATTTTATCATTTTTAAACTAATTAAATTGACTATAGGTGAACTCTAAACACACATTCTAACTCTAACCATAAAATTAAATTTTATGCATTCAAAAAACAAAGAAAGAAACACCTACCCATTTGAAGATGGCCCCGTAGGAAACTTATGTCTAATTTTGCTCAGTTTTGAATTCTCTCACACATTCACACTTTTGCAAACAGTTCAGACTAACACGTAATCACATTCAGGTTGGCATTATAAATGCTTACTCTACTGTAGATTACAGTTTGGCTAAAACTAGATTATCTCTCTGTTCTGTGGGTCACTAGGCCCAATCAAGTTCAAACGCGTTCCTAATGACTTGACCGTTTCATTATGCCATATTTAACCCTAGCATCACCCAAATGAGAGCGTGACACAGACGTGTCTTACCTTCTCTGCCGCGTTCCCTTCCTGTCGATGGAGCCCAGACTCTGAAACACACATAAACACAGCGTTACGACCAATTTACATAAATACAGTCATCTCAAAAAACTGCAGTCATTTAACAGATTATTACACTCCGGAATACTTGATTCTGATTGGTCAATCGCTAGATTCTGTGGTCAAATAATGACTGTTGACCCACCAAATCCTACATATCTGCCTCATGAATCAGACTCTTTCTTCTCTCATGATCCAGTCATTTAAACTCAAATTAGTATTTCATGGCCCTTTATTTGATAATTTGGTAAGCAGGCATGAAATAAGTTGGATCACACACAGTCAGACGTCTCCAGCGCCCTGCTAAGGGTTTATTTGGCAATAATATCTGGCTGACCTTACATTAACCCTTCACTATTCAACTATCAATGAATGGATAGATGAAATGATGGATTAAACAGGTAGACAGAGAGATGATAGATGGAAAAGATGAATAGATGGAGAGATTGATGGAATAATGATGGAATGATAGAACCACAGAACGATAGAATGATAAATGGATGGATGGATGGAACAACAGAATAACAAATAATGACAGATAGAATGATGGATGGGTGGATGAATGGGTAGATAACAGATACAATAGACAGAATGATAGACAAAACAATAGAACAATAGAATATAATAGAATATAAAGATATACTGTATAGATAACAACAGAATGATGGAAGGATGGAAAGATAGAAAGAACAATAGATAGAAAGAACAACAGAATGATGGATGGATGGATGGATTACAGAACAATAGATAGAATGATAGATAGGCAAGGCAAGGCAAGGCAAGTTTATTTGTATAGCACATTTCATACACAATGGTAATTCAAAGTGCTTTACATAAAAGAAAAGAAAAAAAATAATCACAACATTAGGCTGCTGTCCCTTTAAAACCGACTGCACGCATCCAGTATAATGATACACATCCGATTTCTTTCTCAGCTGTTTACATTCATTTAAAACATAACCGACTGCGTTTACGAGAATGATCGTCGAGACGGGTACTATTGACATAATTCTGTGTGTATGTGTCTTGTTCAAACATGAGGAGATGCGAAAGACGAATCAACTCGGCGTTCGCGCGCCGTCTGAAACGCGTCTCTGTGTGCGCGCTTTGCACGTGTAGAACTGAAGAGACGCTGCGCGAGATGCGGCTTGTGCGCGCGCTTCAGGTGTGAGTCTGTCAGACAGCAAGACGAGACGGCAAAGAGCTGTTTTCTGCAGCTTATTGCACTTAACTCTTTTTAACGTCAAGCAATTCTCTGCTATATGCTTCGAACTAAAACTTTGACCTTTTGCAATGTTTTGATTTAAGTAGCCTATTATTAAAATGATTCAGATATCGCACGCCCTCGCGATATGCATATTGCGATATTTACATTTGCGATATTTCGATATATATATCGTGCAGCCCTAATAGATAGATAGAAACAAAGATAGACAGACAGACAGATAGACAGAAGGACAGATGGATGGACAGATGTGGTGACATTTGAAAGGGTGTGGAGTTGTTTCAAAGCGATCAGCTGGAGTGTGGATGATCACCGCTGTGATCCTGACCTTTACCTGTCAGAGTCTCCGAGACAGAAAAACAGATTCATAACATCTACAGTAGGATCTCAAACCTTCACTCATACAAACTCAATCATACACCTGTTAACCTCTGATGATGATGATGTAGCTCTTCCTCTGCTACAGTCACAGAACATCATCTCCAGTGTGGTTTCACACCTCAGCAGCCTCAAACCACACCAATTAACCGTTCATCAGCGCAAACGAGTGCCCTGACAAAAGCAGAACCACGGAGTGAGAACTTCTCACTGAGAACATCGCTCAACACAGCAGTCGACACGCATCGAGTGTGATTAGTGTGCAAAAACCGTTTAACAAAACTACTAACACACACACACGGTCCTCAGGCATTCCACTGATCACATACCTGTGCAGTTCCAGTTTCACCTGTCACACTCGCTTTCCATTCGCTTCAGGTGCAGACCACCTAAAACACACACAGCGTCTATCTATCTGTCTCGCTCTCGCTGCTGGAGGTGTTCTAGTGTTTTATCAGCCCCTATCTCTGCTACTGCTGACTTGGTGTACTTTAATTGTGGTTGCCAGGCGATAAGCTTCACTAACTGTGCAGTAAACAGAAAGAGAGAGACAGAGAGAGAGAGGGAGGGAGGTGTTCTAAACGGTGCTGAATACTAATTGCTGCAACAATAAAAGTTAAACTAAAGGCCAGTGGCGCATCACACTTGGAAAGTTGTGCAGCAAAACCGCTCAGCGTCACATTTCACATCACTTTTACTCATTAGTGAGCAGGTGCTGATCTGATCTGTCGTCAATGTCTCACTCACTAGTTTTATTTTCCATATGAATTGACCTTAAACGGCCTAAAACATCAGTTGTCAGTCACTTTTGCTGCAGGTATTTATTTCTCTTTGACATTTGGTTAATGCAGAGGAGCAGGTGAGCAGGTATGAAATATCAGCTCATGATTCTCTCGTTTATCCTTTTATGTGATGCCATTTCTCTTTTGTTCCATTGATTTAGTTAAAGCGGCATCATTAGCAGCTCTTCAAATATTCTTTCAGAAGCTTCCAGACTAGCAGCCGAACAAACGCAATAAAAAAAAAAAATGGCTTCGGGTGAGGAAGCGGCTGCGCATGATGATCTGTGTTCCTGAAAATGAGCTGCTTTTCTGTTTGGTTTCTTGTGATGGAATCTGATCTTCAGTGACTTCACTGATGCACTGAACTAACAGAGATAATGAAATAATAGATGTATACATTTGTTAATGCATCACAGTTAAAAAATAAAGTGATTTAACAAAAGAAATTGACCATTTTCATGATGTCATGCAACTGAAATCCATGTTTTAAAAATAATCTTTCACTTTAAAAAAAATAATCATTTAGCTACATACAGTTTAAACATAAATTATATTTTACTTAAAAAATTAATTTAATTTTTTTTTAAATATTGAAATATACTCTAAATAAACTTGCATGCTTACATAGTTTATACTTTTCAAATACAGTTTAAACATAAATTATATTTTACTTAAAAAATAAATTTAATTTTTTTTTAAATATTGAAATATACTCTAAATAAACTTGCATGCTTACATAGTTTATACTTTTCAACGTTTGTAATACTTTTTATATACTTTGCATAGCCTACATAATACCGACAAGTTTAAAAAAAATTAGATTTTTAACTGTAAAAGAATACAACAAATTAACAAATAATCCATGTTTTAAAAATAATCTTCTAGTTTGAAAAAAAAAAGAATAATTCAGCTACTATACTATACTATATCTTATATAAAGCATAAACATAGTATAAATTATATTTGACTTTTTTTTTTTAATAATATATTTTAATTATTTCAAATGTTATAATTTAAATACTATTTAAATACACTTCTATATTAAATATTCGTTTTTATTTAATTATATTTTTAATACATTTTATATACTTTGCATTCACATACAATTTTTCAGAATAATAAAACTGTAACTGAAAAAATATTTGAGGCATCAACAAAAAAAATCATAATAATATACTTATTATACGTTATTTTTTACTTAATTTAGAAAATAAAAATATTATTTTTAAGGTTATAATTTACTGTAAATACTATTAAAATATACTTCTATATATTTTATACTTTAAACATTAAAAAAATACTTTAAATACACATATAATTTTCAGAGTACTAGAATATATTTTAATTATTTCAAATGTTATAATTTAAATACTATTTAAATACACTTCTATATTAAATATTCGTTTTTATTTAATTATATTTTTAATACATTTTATATACTTTGCATTCACATACAATTTTTCAGAATAATAAAACTGTAACTGAAAAAATATTTGAGGCATCAACAAAAAAAATCATAATAATATACTTATTATACGTTATTTTTTACTTAATTTAGAAAATAAAAATATTATTTTTAAGGTTATAATTTACTGTAAATACTATTAAAATATACTTCTATATATTTTATACTTTAAACATTAAAAAAATACTTTAAATACACATATAATTTTCAGAGTACTAGACTTAACTGTGAAAGGTATTTGATACATCAACAGAAAACCATAATACACTTATAATAAATTATATTTTACTTATTTTAGATTTTAGAATTTAAATATTATTAAAATGTACTTCTACACTAAATATACTTTTATATATTTTATACTTTTAAGCATTTATATATATATATATATGAATATATACACTTTACATGCACAAACAGAATATTAGACATTTAACTGTAAAAGAATATTTGATGCATTAACAAATAATCACAATAATATACTAATTAATAGTAATGATGTTTTTAGAAACAATCGCTTTTTAGAGGCAAACCAAAAATATGGGGTTTTCACACTTTTTGAACAATTAATATCCATGACTTTTCCTTGTTTTAGCACGTTTTCTCATGAGTTCATGATTTTATATGCAGCATTTAAAAATACTGCAATTGTTTTTAAAAATAAATTTAGACAAATAACAGACAGCCTTTCTATTTCAATTATTTAAAATTACTATTTCAATTTACAATTTAGATTTAAAAAGATCCAGCTTTCTAAACCTCCATGCATGAACAGGAAAATGTACATCCAATGTAGAATTTATTTTAGGACTGGAAATCACAATTGTAATGGCCCCCCCCCAAAAAAAAATTTGGACAAAACGTTATTATATTACTTACAAATATTCACACTAGAAAAGTGATTGTGAAAGGCTAAGTCACATGGCAAGTCCATTCCAGTTTCAGGTTTCCTGGTTAAACTAACTAAAACACAAACACACAACTCACTCGAGTGTGCATTTGTGCGTCTATAGGAGGGAAGCGATGCCTGCTGAGGTTGCCATGGCAGCAGTGTCTCGACCAATCCGAGAGCTCCCATAATGCCATGCAGGGATTTGGGACACTGGCTGGGCAAACGTCACTCAAAAGAGAAGGTTAATGAACTAGTGATGCCATATATGAATATATGAACATAAACACACGCTGGGAGATTTAAACTAATTTAAACTAAAAATCTGATACTGTAGCCCTGCGTCTCTGGCAGACACACATTCACACCCCCTTTAACCAAATGAGCTTGTTCTAGTATGAAACGGAAAATTGGAAACATTTGCAGCACATTATATGAAATGGAAAATCTAAAAGTGTTTCTCTGTGTGTTCTTTTGCCACAATGATCCGCAGTTCAGCTCCCGTCTGCACGCATGGCTATGCGCTAATTATCATAGAAACGGCTCTCCAAAACATAAGAGCTTTTAGAATTGCTATTCCATATTTCTGTTTATTTTAGACTATAAATTATATACAGTAGCAGTGAAACGTTTGGAAACACTTGACTGGATTTATGTTTCTCATGATCCCAAAAAACTAGTTTTGTAGATAAATGTTAGTGTGAATTTCTTTACAAAACTGACTTTGGCATTTTTAAATTCCCTGAACTTTTCTGTTTACGTTTTTGAGTTGTGTATTGCATAAAAAAATTAATTAAAAAGAAAAAGAATTTATCAATTTGTTTTTGAGTTGTGTATTGCATAAAAAAAAAAAAATTAAAAATAAAAAAAATGTTGTTTATGGTTTTGAGTTGTGTATAGCATAAAAATGAAAACAATAATACATTTAATTTGTCTGTGTATGTTTTTGAGTTGTGTATTTCATAAAAAAATAAAAAATAAAAATAAAAAAAAATATTCTGTTTATATTTTTAAGTTGTGTATTGCATATAAATAAATTAAAAATAAAACAATTTTCTTATCATACATAATCAGATACATTCAAAACATATTCAGTTAAATTTTATTTAATTAACATGTCACTTTTGTAAAGAAATTCACACTTAATTTATCTACAAAATTGGTTTAAAGGAGTCATATGACGTTGCTAAAAAGAACATTATTTTGTGTATTTGATGTAATGAAATGTGTTTATGCGGTTTAAGGTTCAAAAAACACATTATTTTCCACATACTGTACATTATTGTTTCTCCTGAGACAAAACCAAGTGTGCCGCACGAGTCTTAAAAAGGGAAGCCATTGCGTTTCGATCGCCCCCAGGTGGCTGGTCCCAGTATAGGTCATAAACCCCGCCATCTCCATGCAATCTAATGGGACATGGGACAAACTAAATAATTAAATTTCATTTCAAAAAAATAATTTTTTTCCAAAGATGGCTTTTGTCATTTGATGTAGATTTTATCACGCTGATGTACGTTCAAGCATTCGTTTTTTAAATATCTTTGGGTTTGAGACTTTAGTCTTTGCAACTTTAGAGATCTTATCTAGAGCCCGACCGATATATCGTTTTGTCGATATTATCGGCCGATATGAGTCTGTCGCCGATATATCGGTATCGGCGAATATGCCACCGAAAAAATTTTTTTTTACAGAACATACAGCATAACGCAGATAAAATGCTTGAAATTGTGTAATTACTTAGTTTGCCCAGCAGAGCGCGCTCTATTGTTTGCTACTGGCGACCTGGATGAAACGCTTTAAAGCTTAAGTCTATGGAAAACCATTGAAACTTTGAACGGCCATTCAAGCGTGGTCTTATTCGACCGTAAGTGCCCTGTGAAGTGGACTTCACATGAAATTCCGCCATGATTCCAGTTCCAAGGGAACGTACACGTTACATTCAAAGGGCATTAAATCGGTATCGGCCTCAAAAAACCCATATCGGTCGGGCTCTAATCTTATCTATGCACCAACAGCTTGTAACACTCCAAAGAGAAAGGAAAATTTGAAATGGCATCATATGACCCCTTTAAATAATGTAAGCAGGAGCTTTTCGACCATAATGCTTCCTAAGATCAGAAAAATTAATTTATGTGCGTATGTCTTTTGAGTTGTGTATTGCGTAGAAAATAGAAATTAAATTAAAAATAAAATCAATTTTTCTGTTTAAGTTTTTGAGTTGTGTATTGCATAAAAAAAATTAAAAAAAATTAAATCAAAAATTAAATATTTTTTTCTGTTTATGTTTTCAAGTTGTGTATTACATAAAAATAAATAAAAAATAAAATGAATTCATGTATTTGTTTTTGACTTATGTCCTGCATAATTATAAAATAAAATAAAATTCACTGATACGTTTTACATATTTCACAATCACAAGAAGCCTGTGTTTAAAGAGCAGCATCAGAGCAATAAAAGATTCCTCTGGGTGAGGATGCTGTGGACAGAGGGAATGTGCAGATCTGCGTTCAGTGTCACCGGACAATTACCATGAATGTGAAGTGAGTCACAGTGGGAGACGCAGACGCTCTGAAACCTCACGAGTGTGTGTGAGTGCTGAGGGTGTTAAAGAGCAGCATCAGAGCAATAAAAGATTCCTCTGGGTGAGGATGCTGTGGACAGAGGGAATGTGCAGATCTGCGTTCAGTGTCACCGGACAATTACCATGAATGTGAAGTGAGTCACAGTGGGAGACGCAGACGCTCTGAAACCTCACGAGTGTGTGTGAGTGTGTGTGAGTGCTGAGGGTGTGGCTACAGCACAATCTACCACGCTTGCGGTTCCTGTGGGGAGCGACTCAATGCTACCCATAAATCTCTGCAGCGTAGCCACCTCAAATCAGGGTAATGGGGCTAGAAGACATGCTGTCATCCGCATGAAGTCATTCGCATGCAGACCGATGCCAGCCGCGGCGGTGGGTCCATCAGACGCTGATTTACTGACTGCTGCACGACGGCCCGTATCTACAGTTCCTATCAGTTTTTTGCTTTATTATGGGTGTGGGTCTCTTTTCTCAATGCTGCACGCTGCCAAGTTTCAAAACAATGACTGTGAGCGATCCAGACCACAGAAATTTGTTTAGGTCACTTCTACATGTTCTGTTTCTCTCGGCTCGCTCTGTTTATTTTCCTTCATTAGCGTTAAATGAGCCATTAATCATCAAACATTAGGCTGGCTCATCATGCTGCTGTAATCGTGAAGCGCAAGATGAAAAGAGAAGGAAGGAGCAGATATAAAGAAAGGCAGAGCTACAGAGAGCAGAAGAAGAGGTGGATGAGTGGAGACGAGTGTAGATCATGATCCAGGACGCCCCTACTGGTAGATGCTGTAACTACACCATCTGGATCCATTGACAGCCGTTCAAACTCATAGAAATCTTTTGAAACAATATACACTACTGTTTAAAAGTTTGGGGTTAGGAAAATCTTCTTTTTTTTTTATTAATATTTTTATTCAGCAAGGATGTGTTAAATTGATAAAAAAAAGATATAGTAAAGACGGATCCTTCACATTTGAAGGATCATGTGACACTGGAGACTGGAGTAATGATGCTGAAAATTCAGATTTGCATCACAGGAATAAATTACATTTGAAAGCATATTAAAATGGAAAACAGTTATTTTAAATTGTAATAATATTTCACATTATTACAGTTTTTTTCTGTATCTTTGATCAATTAAATGCAGCCTTGGTGAACATAAGAGACTTTAAAAATTGTACTGGTCCCAAACTTTTGAACTGAATATATATATAAAATATTATATATGTGTATATATATGTGTGTGTGTGTGTGTGTGTGTGTGTAAAAATAAATACATGAATCTATTTATGTTTTTTAGCTGTGTTTTGCATAAAAATTAATTATTCAAATTATAATAAATTCAGTTAATTATAATTAAAGAAAATAAAAAATATAAAATAAACAAAAATGTGGCAATTTTTTAACACACATTACACACAATAAAATAAAGAAGTATTATATATATATATGTGTGTGTGTGTGTGTGTGTGTGTGTGTGTGTGTGTGTGAAAAATAAAACCTCTCTCTACATACAATATTTTTATATTAAGGTTTTATTCAATTTAAGGCTTGATTTGGGGTTTTAGGAACATGTATATTTTAGGAACATGCACACATTTTATTAATTTTTCATATATATATATATGTTACAATTGACAGAAATAATTTTAAGATCCCGTGCATAAACTGAAGATCAGTAAAAACATTTATCTATGAATATTTTTCCCGCAGCCAAAAAACAATCTAGGATAATAATCTCTGTACAACATCAGGCAATGAAACACCTGAAAAACAGCCTCTTAAGTCCCAGTGCAGAAACTGTAGTAAAACAACATCAATACCTAAATAAACTCCAGGGAACAGATCCTGAGGACTGGTGAATACTTGAAAGCCCTGATTGGTTGACATGTTTGCTTTAGCCAGCATGGGTGTGTGTGTGTGTGTGTGTGTGTGATAGGCTTGCGCAGGGTTAGGAGCGATCTCCGATTATTTGCTGACACAAGAGGAAAACTCATTTTGGTTTGGAGTCGAGAGCCAGACATGGAGACAGACCGAGAGCCCGAGTAAAAGAGAGAGAGACACTCTGATTCACACCTCTCCATTCCCACGGTATTTGGTTTGTTTACGTGCCGCAGTCAGACACAAAAACACTCATATAAACGCAGACATGCACAACAACAAACCGCACTCAATATCGGAGCTGGATGATCACATGTTACAACCCAAAATGACTCTGATACTGATCTTTATCGCTGCCTTTATCTCTACTGTACAAGTAAAAATAATATTAGAAACATATTAAAACTCGAATTTAGTGGCTTTTAGTCAGTGTTTGTTAACTTTTTAGTCACATCGATATGCTAGTGTACTCCTAAATGTTATTTTAGCACATATTCACATTTAAAATATACAGTCTTTATCTTCTAAAACAGATTTAATATGTTGATGACTCATCCTGGACTGCACTGATTTCTGTCCAATCAAATGTGTTCGAATGCAAATGTCCCTCCCCCTGATACTACCTGCGACCAATTAACAAGTAGCAAATCATAATAAACCATGTGTAATTTCTGAACCACATCACCAAATACAATTGTAATTAATTAAATTAAATGGCAGTAAATAAAATACAATTAGAAATATTACATTAAATGAATATAAAAAAATAATATTTTTAAATTAATATAAAATAAATAAATATGAAAATAAAAAATATGAACATTTAAATATTAATATTAAAATATATAAAACATTTCAAATAAAAATAAAATAAGAATTTTATTATTATTGTTATTTATTTGCAGTTATTTTAGTACTTCAAATTAAAGGGGTCATATGATGCGATTTCAATTTTTCCTTTCTCTTTGGAGTGTTACAAGCTCTTGGTGCATAAAGAAGATCTGTAAAGTTGCAAAGACTAAAGTCTCAAATCCAAAGAGATCTTCTTTATAAAAGTTAAGAGTTAACCACGCCTTGTGAAGAGCCACCTTGATGGAGAGCTGAGGATCACCACCAAAACCCGCCTCTGCAGTGATCATTTTACACCGGATAAATTTATAAACTTTCATCGGAGACAACTGGGATTCACTGATAATCCGCTGTTACTGGTAAATGGGGCCGAACCGACTATTTCCCGCCTCGGCCTTCATCCTCCCGTCCTGCCGACAACTGGTGCCATTGTCGGCAGTACGTGCCCACCATTGAGTGTTAACTTATGTGCTTGTGTGGTTTCAGCGCAAAAAGTGGACACGCCCCCAGCATTTGAGAGCAGAGGATACCGCCCATTTTTTCAAGATTTTGATCACTTATTTATTTACTTGGCGGATTTTTTCATCATTCAAATTTGGCTGAGTGGTTAATAATACATTTTTATGTGGTGTGACAAACTCAGAACACATATTTAATATTGCCTTTACAGGGACTTTAAAGAATTTGCCACTGATGATTCAAACACGAGTTTTGAGCAGTGTAGAGTAGCACTTGTTGTTTGTCATTTCTCCGATCACAAATGCAGACAAGAGTTTTATGTTTACGCGGCGCGATGCAACGCAACGCGTAAAAAGACAGTATAAGTCATTATAATAATCAATAATTATGTCCCCACTGGATGCAACAAATGAGGAGAAACAATAATGTACAGTATGTGGAAAATAATGTGTTTTTTAACACATTTCAGTACACCAAATACACAAAATAATGTTCTTTTTAGCAACATCATATGACCCCTTTAAAGATTAGGTGGCTATTACTTTTGTAAACGCGTTAGAGAAAAGTGAACAGTACCTGATGTCTAATTGGTCATTTTACGGTTTTGGCCACTGAAACGTTAATGTTTTTTTTTACCTTAAACCGCATAAACACATTAAAAACATTGAAATACACAACATAATGTTCCTTTTAGCAACGTCATATGACCCCTTTAAACTATATTAAATATATTAAACCTCTCATAGTGTTACTGTAAGTTCTTCAGATCCAATTCAGGCATTAGGGTTAGTTTTCACCTTCTGTAAGTTGTAAGAGCACTGTATATGCTAAATTATAAGCTTCATTGGTCAGGCTAATTAATGAT